TCATATCTGAGAGTTAAATCGAAGCGTAACTTTGATGCGAATTTACTACATCAGTTACTTCAACAATATTGTAATTCTGGGGCAATACCCTCACAAGTCAAACTGAGAGGTCAGTTTATAGGGAAAACTGTTGCCTGGAGTAAATTTAAAAAAAAATTCCATATGTCCTTTGCAGACTTCACATGCTGGAAAAACACAGGTGTCAACTGATGTGGCTTTCTGCAGTGTGCATACTGGCAAGGAGGGCAGGGTTGAGGAGTGGGTGGAAGATGATGTGTGCTAATCTGCTAAATAGTACATTTTGTGGCCTGCTCTTCATATGTGAGAGTCAAATAGAAGCATCTAATAGTGTGCTTTCTGCGCACTTGTAAACATTCTAATTGTTTTGCTGCTAATCTGCTAAATAGTACATTTTGGGGCCTGTTCTTCATATCTGAGAGTCAAATAGAAGCATCTAATACTGCACTTACTGCGCACTTGTAAACATTCTAATTGTTTTGCTGCTAATCTGCTAAATAGTAAATTTTGGGGCCTGCTCTTCATATCTGAGAGTCAAATCGAAGCATCTAATACTGCACTTACTGCGCACTTGTAAACATTCTAATTGTTTTGCTGCTACAAGTCATGCTACAACAAAATTAAACAAGTTTTAAAATATGTATGGGCCAACCAGGGCCGGATTAAGAGCACAGTGGGCCTGGTGCTGACAATTATGATGGGCCTAATTACGGAATCTTATCGACCAAAAACACTAAAACATTCATACCTCCCAAGCGTCATGTATCTGATGGAGATGGTGCTGGAGGGAAACTCATAGAATGCAGCTATAAGAAAACACATACTCTATGCTAATTTCTCTCTAATTTATGCTTTCATCTTTCAAGTAAATCCATAACCCCTAACAGCAGTGTCCAGTGAAGCAGGAAGTCAATGGGTGGGGTAAAAGGGTGTGCCACTGGCGCGAATCACGTGACAAGACCTGCCAAAAAGGGGGCATGTTTGTCCAAAGAATTGGAAGGTCAGCCTGGCATGAATGAATGTCAGGCTGCCTGCCAATCCTGCAGGCTGTCCAACTAAGAGCATACTATGCAGGCAGCACCTTGAGCTTGACACAAATGCGTCTAATAAGGCGCTCACTCCATGCTTTCTAAGGACTTTCCCCTAGCACTCGCTGGTCCACTTGTCTCCTTACCTTCTTACTAGCAGGCAGAGGTTCCTGGTATATAGTCTGAGACAGAGAAAATGTGTATGTAGTGAGTGTAGAAGAAAGGGGACATGCCACAGAGACCAACGTCTGCATTACCTAAACTAATTTTAATGTCAGCCAGCCACACAAGTTTTGTTCCCATACATCCCTCTTAAGCTTCCAAACCTAAAGGGACATTGTATTTGTTCTGGTAAGTAGAATCATTCCATTCAAGCTTTTTGCAGTAAACACTGTCTTTTCAGAGCAAATAACTCCACTGGCCACTCCTTAGAATGCTGCTAGAGGTGCTTCCTGGGGCAGTACTGCCTAGTCTGCAGCACTGCCATTCAGTGTCTCCACCCTCTGCATGCAGACACTGAACTTTCCTCATAGAGATGCATTGATTCAATGTATCTTTATGAGGAGATGCTGATTGGCCAGGGCTATGTTGGACTTGTGCTGGCTCTGCCCTTGATCTGCCTAGTTGACTGTCTCAGCCTATGGGGAAGTATTGTAATTTGCTCAGACCACCACTTCTGAGCCAACAGCTGCAGACTTGAATACAAGTAATATGTTACTATATTTAGGGAGGCAAGAAGGGTCCAGGGTGGTGGTTTTAACATAATAGGGTCAGAAATACATGATTGTGTTACTGACCCTATAGTGTTCCTTTAAGCAAGAATATGTGAAGAGTAGTTAAGGTTGCCACCTTGCTTGGAAAAAAATACCAGCCTTAATCATTTGTATAATTAATTAGTTATGCGTGACATCACATGATGTAAATCACAAGGAGTGACAGCAGAGAAAATTCTTTAAAATCACCAACAAACTACTCACAGTTTGATTCTGCTGTATAGATGGATTGCTCCCAGTGTCTCCCAGTGTCTGTCTCGCAAGTCACCCAGTGTCTCAGTGTCCCTATGTATCACAGTGTCAGTCACCCAATCCCCTAGTCTCCCAGTGTCTGTGTCCCCATTTCTCCCAGTGTCCCAATGTCTGTGTGTCCCCATGTCACTAGGATACTGGGGACACTGAGAGACATGGGGACACAGAGACATTTAGGGAAACTAGGAGAAATGGGGACACAGACACTGGGAGACATGGGGACACTGAAACATTTGGGGATACTAAGACACTAGGGACACAGAGACATGGGAACACAGACACTGGGAGACTAGGGGACACTGTGAGACTAGGAGACACTGAGAGACAGACACTTGGGGACACTGGGAGACATGGGGACAGTTGTGGACAGAGACATGGGGACACTGGGACATATAGGGACACTGGGAGACATGGGGACACCAGGCACACTGAGACACTAGGAACACAGACACTGGGAGACATGGGGACACTGAAACATTTGGGGACCCTAAGACACTAAGGACACAGACACAGAGACTAGGGGATACTGGGAGACTAGGGGACACTGGCTGAGAGACAGACATTTGGGGATACATGGGGACAGTTATGGACATAGACATGGGGACACTGGGACATACTGGGACACATGGGGACACTAGGCACATTGAGAGACATGAGACACAGACACTGGGAGACTTGGGGACACTGAGACACTAGGGACACTGGCTGGGGGACATGGGAACATTGTGTCTCCGTGTCCCAATGTCTCCCAATGTCCCTATGTCTCACAGCATCCCCATGTGTCCCAGTGTCCCCTAGTGTCTCAGTGTCCCCATGTTTTCCAGTGTCCCCAAGTGTCTCAGTGTCCCCATGTGTCTGTGTCCCCATGTGTCCTAGTGTCTCAGTGTCCCCTAGTGTCTGTGTCCCCATGTGTCCCCTAGTGTCTCAGTGTCCCCATATGTCCCCTAGTGTCTCAGTGTCCTCTAGTGTCCCGGTGTCCCCATGTTTTCCAGTGTCCCCAAGTGTCTCAGTGTTCCAAGGTCTCCCAGTGTCTGTGTCTTAGTGTCTCAGTGTCCCCTAGTGTCTGTGTCCCGTAGTGTCTGTGTCTCCTAGTGTCTCAGTGTCCCCATGTGTCCCTGCTGCCTTTCCCCCCATCCCTCACCTGAGCTGTAGAGCTGATGTCTGGACTATGCTGTGTAGCTGCTCCCCCACAGATCAGTGAGTAGTAGAGAGAGGCAGGGATATTCTGTAACTTCCTATACCTGCCTCTCTCCACACACAGTGACCCCTACTGGCCGGTGCTGGTATTGCAGAGTAATTTCCATTTATTCTGAGAAAATTACCTGCATTTGTATTGCCTGTATTACTGCAATACTGGCATGGCAGCCTCAAATACCAGCTGTGCCAGTAAAATACCAGTCAGGTGGCAAACCTAAGTGTAGTGAGTGTAAAAAAAAAAAAAAAAAAATTTTTTTTTTTTTTTTTTTAAATGGGCCTATTCCATGGGCCTGGGCCTGGAGCTGCAGCTCCATCAGCCCCTATGTTAATCCGGTCCTGGGGCCAACCAGTGGCTGTAAACAACAAAGTTTTACTGGTTACATTTGTGACTACACACTCTAGTGAACAGGACCTTCATGTAGTGTGTTCTTTTTTTTAAAAATCATACAGCATCCTTTCATGTGCTTTTCAGATGTCATATTGTGCATTACCAATTTTTGTGTAGCCTGATTTTTTTTTTTTTTTAAAGTGAAAAATAAGTGTTATTGTGATCGCTTCATATACAGAAGCATTAATATACATTTCTATATTGTGTAAAGACACAACTACAAATTTAAAAACCAAACACCAAAACAACTTGCCAGACAATCTACCTGTGCATGGCTAGTGTGATACAATAAATCTACATCTTAAAAATGCAATAACCCACAGAAGATGGGTGAGAATTTTTTTTGCGAATGGAACTTTGATTCGAATTTACTACATTGGTCACTTGTAATATTGTTTCATACATACAACACTTGTTACACAGATCTAAGTGATAGAAAACAGACTGATATTTTCTACACTAGAAACTACCAGATAACAAGCTGCTATATTTAAACCAGTGATTAATAGCTAAGAGGTACTTCAACAATATTATAATTCTGGGGCAATACCCTCACAAGTCAAACCGAGAGATCAGTTTATAAGGAAAACTGTTGCCTGGATACAATTCTAAAACAATTTCCATATGTCTTTTGCAGACTTTACATGCTGGAAAAACACAGGTGCCAATTGCTGTGGCTTTCTGCAGTGTGCATACCGGCAAGAAGGGCAGGGTTGAGGAGTGGGTGGAAGATGATGTGGAGGATGATGAGGTCCTAGACCCCACATGGAATCAAGGTCATGCACATGACGTGTGCAGTTTGGAGGAAAAGGCGCTGGTCGCACAGAGGCACCAGCACAGCATAAGAGGGAGCAAGATGCAAAAGCAGAGTGGCCGTCCCCTAGCGCTCGACGGCATGTATTAGCTTGAGAATTACCAGTTATCCAAGTAATACATGTAGCGATCAAAGGATACATAATAGACTTGAACGAACTCGAACTGCAAAGTTCGGGTTCGTACCAAATTTAAAGATCCATTCGTAGTTTCACAGTGAGGTGGGCAGTCCCGTGACCAGGACCCAGACACTGTCAGGATGTGACATTCACTGTAGCGGCTGTGCGTGCTTTTGGCCTTGTCACCCTGCTGCTGCTCACCTGTCTGCGCTGCAGCATAACTTTGGCCTTCCCACTCACCACCTCATGAGACTTTGCGAGCAGCAGCACACGATAGTGGAGTTTCAGCTGCAGCACGCACGGGTCAGTGGTTCTGCACCAGACTTCCCTCCAATTGATCAGAGTTAAAGGATTTCAAGTGGACTCATTACAATTACAGGGCCTCTAAAGAGTCCTGTATTGTTATTTGTCGTCACTACCTTCCCGCGTCGGGAGTGGGTCCTTTGCGCGCCTGCTGCCTTCCTTGCATGTTGTAGCCGTTTCTCAGGGTCCCTGTACAGAATGGAACCCTGATTCTCCGTTACCCGTGGTCACCATGGTAGATGCAGAAACTGGCATCAAAAGTTGATATGGATGACATCCGCATGCAAAGTCGCCGCCACGGGGATGTGCGATTTGCCCTAGGTTCTCTAGAGTCAACAAAGTTCCTGCGCAACTATAATGTCAACAGCTACTCTGTGGAACAGAGTTGTCTTTTTTTATATGTCCCAATATTTTGGGGGCTACCCCAATTAAAATATATATATAAAAACAGTGTTGGCTACCTCATCCTCCTCCTCCACTGCCACGGTCACCACCTCCTCAACCTATGGGTCACTTAGTATAAACTATGTACGCATTAGCAGAGGCTTGTGAAGACCTTTTCTCCATGCATCAGGAGTTGAGCATTTCTCCATGCATCAGCACTGCAAGAAATGCACCGCAGGCCGCAAATGTTTCTTTTGTTGTATGTCCCAATATTTTGTGGGCTACCACAATTAAAAATAAAAAAAACAAAAATACAGTGTTGGCTACCTCATCCTCCACCTCCACCGCCATGGTCACCACCTCCTCAACCTATGGGTCACTTAGTATAAACTAGGTACACATTAGCAGAGGCTTGTGAAGGCCTTTTCTCCATGTATCAGGACTGCAAGAAATGCACCGCAGGCCGCAAAAGTTACTTTATTTGTATGTCCCAATATTTTGTGGGCTACCACAATAAAAAAAAACAAAAAAACATAAAATACAGTGTTGGCTACCTCATCCTTCTCCTCCACCGTTGCTTCCTCCTCCACCGCCATGGTCACCGCCTCCTCAACCTATGGGTCACTTAGTATAAACTATGTACGCATTAGCAGAGGCTTGTGAAGACCTTTTCTCCATGCATCAGGAGTTGAGCATTTCTCCATGCATCAGTACTGCAAGAAATGCACCGCAGGCCACAAATGTTTCTTTTGTTGCATGTCCCAATATTTTGTGGGCTACCACAATTAAAAACAAAACATAAAATACAGTGTGGGCTACCTTATCCTCCTCTTCCACTGCCACGGTCACCGCCTCCTCAACCTATGGGTCACTTAGTATAAACTAGGTACACATTAGCAGAGGCTTGTGAAGGCCTTTTCTCCAGGCATCAGGACTGCAAGAAATGTACCGCAGGCCGCAAATGTTACTTTATTTGAATGTCCCAATATTTTGTGAACCACCACAATAAAAAAAAACAAAAAAATAAAATACAGTGTTGGCTACCTCATCCTCCTCCTTCACTGCTGCTTCCTTCTCCACCGCCACGGTCACCGCCTCCTCAACCTATGGGTCACTTAGTATAAACTAGGTACACAATAGCAGAGGCTTGTGAAGGCCTTTTCTCCATACATCAGGAGTTGAGCATTTCTCCATGCATCAGGACTGCAAGAAATGCACCGCAGGCCACAAATGTTTCTTTTGTTGTATTTCCCAATATTTTGTGGGCTACCACAATTAAAAAAAAAAACTAAAATACAGTGTTGGCTACCTCAACCTCCTCCTTCACCGCCACGGTCACCACCTCCTCAACCTATGGGCCACTTAGTATAAACTAGGTACACATTAGCAGAGGCTTGTGAAGGCCTTTTCTACATGCATCAGGACTGCAAGAAATGCACCGCAGGCCGCAAATGTTTCTTTTGTTGTATGTCCCAATATTTTGTGGGCTACCACAATTAAAAAAAACCTAAAATACAGTGTTGGCTACCTCAACCTCCTCCTTCCACGCCACGGTCACCACCTCCTCAACCTATGGGCCACTAAGTATAAACTAGGTACAAGATAGCAGAGGCTTGTGAAGGCCTTTTCTCCATACATCAGGAGTTGGGCATTTCTCCATGCATCAGGACTGCAAGAAATGCACCGCAGGCCACAAATGTTTCTTTTGTTGTATGTCCCAATATTTTGTGGACTACCACAATTACAGTTTTGGCTACCTCATCCTCCTCCGCCACGGTCACCGCATCCTCAACCTATGGGTCACTTAGTATAAACTAGGTACACATTAGCAGAGGCTTGTGAAGGCCTTTTCTCCATGCATCAGGACTGCAAGAAATGCACCGCATGCCACATATGTTTCTTTTGTTGTATGTCCCAATATTTTGTGGGCTACCACAATTAAAAAAAACAAAAAAAACTAAAATACAGAGTTGGCTACCTCATCCTCCTCCTCCACCGCTGCTTCCAGCTACACCGCCACGGTCACCGCTTCCTCAACCTATGGGTCACTTAGTATAAACTAGGTACACACTAGCAGAGACTTGTGAAGGCCTTTTCTCCATACATCAGGAGTTGAGCATTTCTCCATGCATCAGGACTGCAAGAAATGCACTGCAGGCCACAAATGTTTCTTTTGTTGTATGTCCCAATATTTTTGGACTACCACAATTACAGTTTTGGCTACCTCATCATCCTCCGCCACGGTCACCGCGTCCTCAACCTATGGGTCACTTAGTATAAACTAGGTACACATTAGCATAGGCTTGTGAAGGCCTTTTCTCCATGCATCAGGACTGCAAGAAATGCACCGCAGGCCGCATATGTTTCTTTTGTTGTATGTCCCAATATTTTGTGGGCTACCACAATTAAAAAAAAAAAAAACTAAAATACAGAGTTGGCTACCTCCTCCTCCTCCTCCACCGCTGCTTCCAGCTACACCGCCACGGTCACCGCTTCCTCAACCTATGGGTCACTTAGTATAAACTGGGTACACACTAGCAGAGACTTGTGAAGGCCTTTTCTCCATGCATCAGGAGTTGAGCTCAGTTTGAACAATGAAAGAGAATACCCTGCACTCCAACCCTCTCTCAAATGTATAATTCTGGTGATCCTCCTGACAGCCATGCTTTAGATTTTGATTTATGTTCTTTCAAAGCTAAAATCAAAGATTCCATCTAGTGCTATTTTATGGCTCAGCTGTATTTTTATATTTTATATTATTTTAACCCCTTAAGGACCGAGGACGGTTCAGGACCGTCATCGGCATTTTTGCCTTGCCGACCGATGACGGTCCTGAACCGTCCAAACGGTCTGGGGGTACTTACCTGATCGCCGTCGTTCCCCCGGCGGCGATCAGTGTTCCTCCGGTTGTGGGGAGACTGCCTGCAGCCCAGACAGTCTCCCCACACTGAATTAGGACCCCTGTGGCCATGTGATCGCTTAACAGAGCGATCACATGGTCACAATAGGTGTCCATAGTGTCTGCCTGCAGGGGGACTGCCTGTGCTGACAGGCAGTCTCCCTGCAACTGTAAAATCAGAAAAAAAATTAAAGTTAATGGTAATAAAAAAAATAATAATAATTATATATGTATAAATATGATATATAGACATATATTATATCTATATAATATGTCTATATATCATATATATAATGTCATACTAAGTGTATTTTTATATTAATATGTACTTATATTAATATAAAAATACACTTATAATTAAATTACACACGTATATATATAATATATATAATAACTATATATATTGTATATATATATTATTATAAAATATAAATAATAAGTAATTTAAATTAAATACATTTTTTTTAAATAATAATAAAAAATTAAAAAAAAATTATATAGCTATATGAAATTTTATTCTAACTGTATTTTAAAATTAATATATATATATTTATATCAAAATACACTTAGAATGAATTTGTATATATATCTATGTATATAAAAATAAATAAAAATAATAAGAAATATACATACGTCCATATACAAAATTACATAAATAATTATATAATATACATGTAGACTTCAAATATATAAATATGCATATATATTTAAATTCTACGTGCGTATTTATGTAATATTTTTACATAATTCAGTAATTTTATTGATTGCAATTTGAGGGACCTGCCTGCCAACCCAGGCCGAAATTCCAGAGAATTTAATTTGCTAGCACTGTATTTTACCCTGTAACGTTCTACGACACCCTAAAACCTGTACATGGGGGGTACTGTTTTACTCGGGAGACTTCGCTGAACACAAACATTAGTGATTCACAACAGTAAAACATATCACAGCGATGATATTGTCAGTGAAAGTTACTTTTTTTGCATTTTTCACACACAAACAGCACTTTTACTGATGATATAATTGTTGTGATACGTTTTCCAGTTTTTAAACACTAATATTTGTGTTCAGCGATGTCTCCCGAGTAAAACAGTACCCCCCATGTACAGGTTTTATAGCATTTTTGAAAGTTACAAGGTCAAATATATGGGTCAAATATTTTACATTGAAAATGGCCAGGTTGGTTACGTTGCCTTTGAGAGCGTATGGTAGCCCAGGAATGAGAATTACCCCCATGATGGCATACCATTTGCAAAAGAAGACAACCCAAGGTATTGCAAATGGGGTATGTCCAGTCTTTTTTAGTAACCACTTGGTCACAAACACTGGCCAAAATTAGCGTTCAATTTAGTTTTTTTTACTTTTTTCACACACAAACAAATATGAATGCTTACTTTGGCCAGTGTTTTGACTAAGTGGCTACTAAAAAAGACTGGACATACCCCATATTGAATACCCTGGGTTGTCTACTTTAAAAAAAATATGTACATGTGGGGTGTTATTCAGAGATTTATGACAGATAATAGTGTTACAATGTCACTATTGATAAATTTTAAAATGTATGTTTTGAAACCGCAATATCCTACTTGTACCTATAGCCCTATAACATGCAAAAAAAAGCAAAAAAGCACGTAAACACTAGGTATTTTTAAACTCAGGACAAAATTTTGAATCTATTTAGCAGTTTTTTTCATTCGCTTTTGTAGATGAGTAAAAGATTTTTCAAGTAAAAGTCAAAAAACATGTATTTTTTTCAATTTTTCATCAGATTTTTGTATTTTTTTTAAATTAAAATACATGAGATTATATAAATAATGGTATGTAAAGAAAGCCCCTTTTGTCCTGAAAAAAACAATATATAATTTGTATGGGAACAGTAAATGAGAAAGCGGAAAATTACAGCCAAACACAAACACCACAAAAGTGTAAAAATATTCCTGGTCGCAAATGTACAACATCGCAAAAACAGTCCAGTCCTTAAGGGGTTAAGTGATTTCCTCATCCACATTTGTTTACAGGACACTTGTCCTACTCTTACCCCCATTTTACTTGCTTTTGCAGCTCTCTAGCTCTTTCAATGAGTTTTTTAGAGTGATTTTTGTGGCCAAAAGTTCGGGGTCAAGTTCGAGCCCGAACCCGGACTTTTTTCAAAGTTCGGCCGAACCCGCTGGACCCGAACATCCAGGTTTCCACTCAACTCTAGTATAGACCATTCATATACAATCAAA